GTCGCAAAAAAATCTTCACTGTGTCGGTTTTTAAACGCACCTTGAAGATACTTCTACAAAAGGTAGAAGGCTATATAATTTTTTCGGACGGTAATTATCACATGACTGAGTTATAGCTTAAAAAGTCATTGGTATATAGCTGTTGCTAGTAAGTTACATTATATATATATATATATATATATATATATATATATATATACGTATATATATATATATATATATATATATATATATATATATAGGTGCTGTGCTTAAGAGTGCGTATTTTTGTTTGTGGTCGTCCCCAAAATCCTTACAACTTTTTGGTTTATCAAACAGCTTTTGGCAAGACAAGATTCATATGCAGTGAAAGAGATCTGATTGCTGAAACTTAGCAACTTTTAAAGGGATGCTTAGTTTTGCTAATACAAAAGGGTAACTGTTTTTTGTCCTTCAGTGTGTGGAAAATTATGTTTATTTTATTTGTACGGTAACACTTCTCTTGTATAAATTGTGTTTGATTTGTTTAGCAGTAAATTTATGCAGTTCATTTACACATATTACATGAATAAAAACAAGTTGTATAATGGTTTTTGCCGAAATTATACTAGGTTTTAACGATAAAGTACCAAACTTACAGAAGTTTTATTTCTTGTAAAGACTGTGTTTTTGTTACTGTACATGATTGTTAATTTGCAATTGCTTTACGTTGTACCAAGAAAAAATAAAAACTTTTTCTGGTTCAATATTTGAAAAAGAACTTTGCCACTTGTAATCACTGTCAAAATAATTCCGACAACTCTACAACAGTTATTATCATGCATAACTTTTCCCTTGTGTGACAAAGGTCTTGGTGTCAAAATGGCAGCAGATGATATTGCTGTCTATGGATAGAAGCAGCCGATCGCTGTCTAAATAAGGACTCCTTCGTTGTCGCATTGTACTTGTTTTTCTTCGGCATAGTTCAAGGCGTACATTGCTTCCAACCTCTAATGCGATCAGCGCATCGTCAAGTCTCAGAAGTCAGAGTTTTAGGCCTCAGCATTTTCTGTGTTTCTTCTTTTTCACGTACTTGGCAGTAATATCGGTCTGTTAGCATTTCACAACTCACAGTCGTCAACAATGCTTTAAGCGAAAATTTGCGTTTTTTTCATATTTTCCCCGTGCAGCCTTGTTAGGCGCTCCCACTTCATAACTGTTTAATTTCTGTGTTTTTTTGTGTGACTACCTTAAAGACAGTGTTAATAGGGTAATCTGTTACCTTAGGCAGACGATGTATATGCGGTGAGCAGCTAAGTTTTCAAAGAAACGGAACTTTTTGCTAATGAAGAGCAGAACCACCTAATTCTTTGGCATTAGCAGGTTGTTGACACTTATAACTGTTTCCGTAGTGCGCCGAAAAAAGACCTGTTTTTTGGGGGGCTTTCTTTTGTTTTTGAATCGTGTCATTTCTAAACCGTAGGCACGGGAGCTGTATTGCTAATTTTCTTTTCTTCTAGTTTGGTAGAGAGAGACAAGTGACACTGTTATAGGAAAACACTGGAGAATGTTTTCAGTGTTTAACAGTATACGTGTGATTTGGTTTTCTAATTTTACTTTTTCTACTCCTCGGCTTTTGAAATAGTCATCAACTGAGCTGCAAAGCAGAGGAACGATTAAGCAAAAAGAGAGTGCCACTCCTTCTAACCTTATGATAACTTTTTGACAGGGAGTAATACCGATTTTTTATTATCAGTTTTACACGTATTATAGGATCAGAGGTTTCGCTAGAGGTTTGCAATAAATTAAAATTGTTAAGTGAGGAACGTTACTAGTTCACAATAGTGTTGTAATTGTTAAATTTTGAAATAAAAAAATCAGGAAATTATTATACTTTTGCGGGCAAAATCTGTGGCAATTAATGATGGTCAAATTATCAAGTAAATGAATAGAGCACATTTTGATTAGTAATCTTCTTCGTTTGCTCACATTTTTTTTTTTCGTTGCTTTATTCTATCAGCATGATAAGTTCAAACCTGTTTTTTTTTTTAATAAAATTTTTTTCAAACTGCTGCACTAAAAATTTATTCTATTCGTATTGTAAAAACAGTCTTACTGTTTTTTTTTATATTCTTTTTTGTTCCAAGCAAAAATCGGATGCAAATTTAGTAATTACAATTATTCTGTTGACGAGCTAATCAAATTTTATTTTCATGTAAATGAATATATTAGCTACTAAAAATATTTATCTTTCTATAGTTGTTAGATAAACTATAAAGACAGATTACAAATGTTTTACAGGGGTTACAGATAACTGCGCCGAATTGAGTTAAAAATACCTGATTTGACGGCAATTGATATAGGCGTTTACTGTTTTACTAGGGGTCTAAATTCATAGGTCCTGGGCCAGGAAATAACTATATTTAGTATCGTCTCCAAAGTGCAGGTCAGTAAATTAGTTATCTGGCCAAGATCAAATAATTCTAAGCATTATAGTCTCAAGTTACATTTTAACGGTACAGACATTCAACTACTAATGTGAAAGACTATTTTTAGTGGTAGACCTGTGTATTATGCCGACATTCGCGAGTTCTTTATTGTCGTGTAACTTGATTAGTCTTTTACTGCGCTGTTTCCAGAGGGTTTTATAAGCGTAATATAAAACTAGATTACCAATCTGCAGTTCTTGAAATAGCGGAAAATTTGCTTTTTCTTGTTATAGAATATTTACAGAATAAGCAACAGTCGTAATAAATTTTGGCTGTCATTTTTTCAAGTTTTCAAATTTTCTTAACTATTACCTCTTTTATACAGGTAAATCGTCTAAAAACATATTTTAAAATTGCCGGCTGCAGAAAAAAATCCTAATTGTTTTTAAAGTTTTTAATTTTTTACAGTTTTTTATTTTTCTTTTTCTCCTGTTGAAAACAACTTCTGTAAAACCAGTTTTGTGTTTCAGTTGCAGTAGCTTTTGTTAAGTTGTTGTCACATTTACCAAGAGCGACCCAGCTTTATTATGCTGCAGCAAAACAATCGGATAATGCTTCGTGGCGATTAGTAAACGCTGAGTTTCGAAAATGGTAATTTAAAGCGATTCGCGATTGTAGAGTCTGGTTTTTAATTTTGTTTAATTCTTATTTTGACTTTTTCAGTATGATAAACAATGAATAGTGCCTGTAAAAAATTTGTTTTTTTTTAGTTTTATTTGCACAACTTTTAACTTCTACATAGATTTCTTCTTTATTGTTTCTATTGTCGTTACTTAAAAATTTAATTATACAGGATTCGGATGCTAAAGAAACGTTCTTTTGAGGTGGGATAAGATAACCTTTTTTACATTTTTTGCAACACTTCTTTTATTATCGACTTGGCACCACCTTTAGTGAAGTTGTCAAGCGGAGCATACTGAGAAAGATCACATCGC